AGACATCCTGCTCTCCTAAGCAAATGGAATGTTCTTATGAGAGCAGGCTGGCTGCTGATCTGAGAAATTTTCAAGCAAACAGGGCGTTCCCCCCCGGGAGCATGCTAGCTGCGGGTTTTGAGGAGGGGGTCTGTAGGGTCTTTCAATCAATAAATACTTGTTGACTGGAATCATGTCTTTTTATTATTTCTATTTTAGTTATTTAAGATGCACACATCAAACAATGCCTGTGGCTGATTCAAGCCGCATCCAGACCCTGGAGGCAGATTCATCTCTGTACTTAGATATGCAAACCTCTTACTGTAACTGTGTCTGACTGTGGGGAAAACAGAGTTATATTTATTACCTGTTTCTCCTTGTAGCATGCTGAGAAAGGAGACATTGGCTCCTGCAATTTGATCGTCCTGATTTTCATGGGTCCCTCAGGTATGGTACAGTGGCCACAGGGCACACCGGTTCTAACTTCTGAGGTTCTCGGCCAACATTGTTCCTGCCATATAAATTAGCCTTTTAGGAGCAGGCTCATAGCTTGGTGGGGATATTTTGCTTTGTTTTGGTGTGTGGCTGATAGTCTATTAGCGTTGTCCCCAGCATCTATTCTCCAGTTTATTCTACATATTTTCCATGACATCTCTTCAGCAGGGACACGAGAGTCACTTTTCATCATACACTGATAGATTCATGTTGGGTGGCACAGGCTCCTGGCAGACTTTTGAAACTCAGTCTGCACATCTAAAAACAAACACACTGCCTACGGTTGAACATCGTGGCTGAAAAACCACTAGACTGAAGCCTGAAGATGCTGAACTACTGCAATAATATATTGTAATCTACTAAACGACCAAGCCTGTCCTCCAAGAGTAAAGAAGTCACACAAAACGACTGCCAGTTCCACATCCCACAGTAAGGCACGGAGCGTGCAAAGCCAGGCTTTCATGTCCACACACAGACAGAAGACATTTATATCTAATTCACCCCTACCTTTCAGATCCACTGGGCTGCAAGCACTAGAAGTTGCCCAGCTCCCGAAACACAGTCATCCACGACACATTTGGCCTATGATAAACTCTTGGCGCTCGTTTCAATGTCAAAGGATAGCTAGGGAACCACAGCGATGCGTGCTGCACTCCGATATAAAGAAAGAAGACAGTCTTTCCCGCTTGTAGTGTAGCTGAAAAGGCTTGCCGTGCTGGGTTTCGGATCTGCAAACTGCCTAGACCTTGAAGCTGAGCCTGACCTGCCGCTAGGCTTTTGTCATTGTTGTTGTTTGTTTATCCATTTGTTCTTTTTTTTTTTTTTGAGACAATCTCATTACATAGTCCAGGCTATCCTGCATCTCTCTATCCTCCTGCCCCAGTCCCATCTATTCTGGGATTAAAGCAATAGGTTCTAAAGCGGATGTTATTCTCAAAATAAACTATTCTGCCCAATGTTTTAAAAAATGCATGCTAACTCTGTAAACTTAATAAAGCCTTTGAATTTCCCAGTGGCGGCTCAGATTATTTAAGGGAGGATTTTTTTTTCTATATTTCTCCACCGAATCTCTACAGCTATGCTAGGTAAAGAAAATGGATTATAAACATTGGCAATTCAAATGCTCTACGTGTAAACTGTGAAGAAAATTAGATGTAGCAAATAGATCCCACTGTGCACAGGGGAAATGATGCTGGGATCTCTAAATGACTTCACTCAGTCACATAGTTTTGTTTTTGTTCTTGTCTTCTTTTTGATTTATTTGTTCTTAAAGAAACTAGTAGATTCACGAGGGAAGGTATAAAAATCTGGCACAGCAGCATCAACTCAAAATGCTGCTTTTGCCTCAAAGGGAATAAAAGATAATTTCTTCTGAGTCTAATATGAATGACCAGGACCTGGGAACACAGACTGAGCTTGCTCCTAAGTGACATGTGCCAACGGGAAGACAGTTGCACGCTATTTTTACAGTTACAGAACGAACGTCATAAACCAAGGCATTCCCAACGTATTAGTGAGGACATCAGATGGGCGGTCACCCCAAAGCACAGGAGACTCTGCTGTAGGCTTCAGATGCCATCAATGGCATTCTTAACTTTTGGGTTCGGGGAAGCTACCTGCGTCTGCTCTGCCAATAGTTTTCCCTGATAACGAAAAGCAGACACACGGGTGGACAGTGGATAACTGTGAAGGGGAGAAGAGAACTCAGATAGTTTGGTTCTGCATCTGTAATATTCCAGAGCCCCACAACCATGAAGTTCTGATCAATTGCTTGGGCTTCAATCTTCAGCATAGGTGTGACTTTCTGCTGGGAACTTCAGCACACAAGAGTCCTCTGGACCCGACTCTGTGTCTTGAAACCCTGGGGCTAAACGACAGGAAATTGCATATTCTTTTCGTCATCTTAAACAGCTACAGAGCCCCAGGAATGGGGCCCAGAATAAACCACACATTCAAGTGTGAAGTTGGCAAATTTGTAATTAATGACCGGGGAGAAATACCGAGAGCAGCAGGCACATTTCAGGAATGGTAACCTTTGCTTGACACAGGAAGGGAGTCAGAAAACAAAGCAGGTAGTCAGCCACAGCAAGGTCGTATCTGGAGAGAACACACAGAAGACAGCTAGTGAAAGTTTCTTACCCCGAGGCTGTTACGGAACTCACATAAACAATGAAAAAAACCAACAATTTTTAGCGTATTGTGTGTGTGTGTGTGTGTGTGTGTGTGTGTGTGTGTGTGTGTGTGTAGGGGGGACTTTGCCAGACAGTGGAAATAAACTGATCTGTTTGAGGGTCTGGAGAGATGGGGCAGTGGATTAAATGGTTGCTGTTCAAATATGAGGACCGAGTTTGAATCTTCAGAACTGATAGGCATGGTGGTCTCACTGTAATCTGAGGGCTTGAGATGCAGAGACAGGAGATCTTTTGGCAAGCTGCCTAACTAGACCAGCCAAAATAGACACACACCTTTAATCACTCAAAAGAAGAAGAGGAGGAGGAGGAGGAGGAGCTAGAGGAGGAGCAAGAGGAGGAAAAGGAGAAGGATAAGGAGAAGAAGAAGAAGAAGAAGACCCAGAAAAGGTGGTAACATTTTAGATATGCTCATTGATTCCCATTGTACGGAGCTGACTTACCAACCAAGCGAGAAAAGAGATTACAGGCTCTTGAATTCCTTGTTTTCTCTTAGGCAGCAGCTGACTTCTTTGTCTTTGAAGCTTCTCAGTGGAGTGGATCGTGGTCTGTTTTGATGAGTTTTCAAACCAGAGAGACAACCGTGTTGACTTCAGAATAGGTCAGAACCAATAGCTGACTTGATTACCACTGGTGCGCTGGAGGGGAGAGATGCAGAGACGCCTACGATCCGACTGGGAACGCCTATATAGTGAGTGGGATAGAAGGGACAGCAGAGCACTGGGTGACAGGATTGGACTTGACATTAATTCATAGGTTTATGGCCCTGGTTATTGGTTCAGTGTCTATGAGTCCCTATGAGCTTGCACGGGACTGACCTAGGCACTTTGCATATATGTCACAGCCGTGTAACTTGGTCCTCTTATGGGACTCCTAACAGTGGGAACAAGGGCTATCTCTGACTCTTTTACTGGCTTTAGGGACCCTACTTTTCATACTGGGTTGCCTTGACCAACCTTAATACTTGGGGGCTGGGTGAGGTGCTTAGTCTTACTGTGATTTGACATGCCATGTTTATTGATACTCACAGGAGACCTGCTCTTTCGCGGATGGTGACAGATGAAGAGGCAATTGGGGGGTAGGTGGGAGAGGGGGATGGGGAGAGGGATTGGGAGGGGAGGATGTAGGGGGAGGCTGTGACCAGGATCTAAAACGAATAGATGAAAAAAAAAAAAGAAAAACTATATTAATCTGATGAGCAGACCGTGGCCTGCACTCCGCAGGCTCATTAGACTAGCGAGCTCTACCATGGAAGAGTCTCCCTTTTTCCCCCTTCTGAAGCTTCCACCTGGAGCTCTCCTAACCCCTGTGTGATTCTGGGAACAAATAGGGCGGATTCTCTCAGAGGTTCCATGATCTCCATCAAAATCTCTCCTCCAAGCCACCCTTAAACCCACAGTGGCATCGCAGTCAGGGCAGCCTCCTGGAGACACTTCCGGGTCCTTCCTCAACAAAGCCTACGGGTGCCTGGATCTGCTTATTAATTTTCTCACCTTATGTAACTTCCTCTCAGGTCTTAAAGTGCCCTGCACACTTCAGTATGACGGCCACTCCTTTATTCCTGTCTTCTTCCCACTGGTATGTGGAAGTTTCAGACAGAGAGGGACCCTGTATTCCAAAGGAGGTGAGCCAGAGTCTGGCTGGTTAGACTAAATCAGCCGGGGTGAGTGCATTCTTCCCCTGGAGGAGGTGGATCCTGAAACACGGCAATAGTGAGGGGTGTTTCAGAGTAAGGCTGTAGAGTTCTGCTCTGCTGCTTTTGAAGGACTTTTTTTTTGAAGGAGATTTTTTTGCTTTCTTTTTCCATTTATGTGTGTGTGTGTGTTGGCGTGTGTGTGTGTATATGTGTGGGGTTCAAATGCATGTAGATGCCTGATGTTATTTTGTAAATCATTCTTGTTCATATTATTCATTGGGGCAAAGTCTCTTGAACCCAGAACTTAGCTCAACAGTATGGCTAGTCTTGTTATCGAGCTTCCTCTGAGGACTCCCCCCTCCCCCATCTCTGCCTCTGAAGATGAAAGAGCAGGTGAGCTGCTGTACTAGCCTGGTGTTTATGTAGGTTCCAGAGATCCCTACTCTGGCGCTCAGCCTGTGTGGGAAGCACTCTAACCATGATTTGTCTCTCCACCCCTTGGAGATTTCCCTAGACAACCTCAGAATGCCTCTGACTCTTCCACTCAATTTGAGCTCCGTGAGTGAATATTGCTCACTTATGATCAAAGTAGTGCCTTGGTCGGGCTCCATGGCTACTGTTCCACTCCCAAACAATTTCTATTTCAGTGGCTCACTGTGAGCGTGGCGTTCCTTTGCAGACCTCTATTTGTACTGGAATGACCATCTATGTCTGTACTCAATGTCACCTTTCTTTATTAAAAAATGAACACAAATGCCACTTCTCAGGTAATAAGACTGTAGTGATTCAAATATACAAGGGTGTCCTCTCTCTTTAAAGGGAAATTTAAAATTGACATAACTTCATGATATCACAAAGAACCCAGGCCTCTGTTTTATTGCTCTGTAAGTTTTTGGTCTTGTCTTAAAACTTTAAGGCTACCATATAATCCAAGAAGGCTGCTGAAGCTCCAGACTTTGCCAGTCATCAAACAAGCTAGCTTTTCCCAAAATCACCTTGAGGGACAAAGTAGCTCAGAACTTAGTTGCTTGTAACTATGGGCATTTATTTATCGGTGTCAACTTCTGGGTCTACAGTCCTATGTGGTGGCCCCATCAGGTCAAATGTTAGCTGCCAGCTGATACTGAGGTCTGAGTCATGTTTCTGTATGTTCGCCTTGGGCAGTAGCTGCTCAACAAGTGGCAGGAGTTAATCCAGGAGGGTGCATATCCAGTAGAGTCCCATTGGCCATGTAAGTAAGATGGCCACAATTAAAGACAAGATGCAGAAGCCGGGCGGTGGTGGCGCACGCCTTTAATCCCAGCACTCGCGAGGCAGAAGCAGGCGGATCTCTGGGAGTTCGAGGCCAGCCTGGTCTACAAGAGCTAGTTCCAGGACAGGCACCAAAGCTACAGAGAAACCTTGTCATGGGAAAAAAAAAAAGATGCAGAGAAATGCTATAATTTAAAGGGATAATGGTGTTATGATTTGGATCTGGGATTTCCCTCAGAAGTCTAGGAGTTGAAGGCTTGTTCATAGTCTGTGGTGCTATTAGGGGATGGTGGACCATGTGGGCGTGGCAATTAGTAGGAAGTTAAGTCATGGGCATCACACCCTTGAAGGGATACCAGGGCCCCATACCTTCTTATCTTTGCTTCCTGGCAATCATGATATAAATAGGTCCACTTGTGTTCTTGTCATGGCATACTGTGCCACCACCAGGGCCAAAGCAAGCATGAACTGAAACCTCTGAGACTCTGATACACGCCTAACATTTCCTCCATTTAAAGTGGCTAACTCAGGGAGCTAGAGAAATGGCTTAGTGGTCAAGAGTGCTTACTTCTCTTGTAGAGGACTTGAATTGCATTCCCAACAGCACATGCCATGACTCACAAATACTGGGGATCGGACAAGCCTCTGCTGAACTCTGTGGGCACCACCTACACGTATGTATACACAGCCACCGGCACTCTAGACCCACACTCTAGGACACATCATTTAAAATCATAAAAAAGATCTTTAAATTTGGTTATTAGTGAGCTTGGCTGTTTCGTCACAGTAACAGGAGACAGTCCTTACAGGTGGATTTTCTAATTCTGTTAGAAGATGGAGCCAAGAATCGACCCTAAATTCTAACCTACTATAGACATCATTGTGGGATGCTGGGACGAGGCAGGAGGTTGGAAGGGGCAATGGAACATATCTATTAGCCTTAGAATCATTTTGAGAGTCACACACAAAGCTTCCCAGTTATATTTCACTGGCCAAAAACTTCTCTCCCAGCTATTTTGGGCACTGGGACAACTGGGAAATACTTTATTGCGGATTACAGTGTATTCTGCTAATAACTGGGGTTCTGTTGACAGGCCAGAAAGGGGGAAAGTGGGCTGGACAGCAGTTCAGCAGTTTCCTGCCCAAGGTGTGCGATCGCTGCGCTCCTCTGTGGTGTGTTGTCTTGAGCTGGAGCTTGGTCCCTGCTGCGGGGTGGATTCACCAAAGCCAAAGCCACCTGTAAATGATTATTCACCCTGCCATCAGCTGTTGCTCGACTGTTGCTGTGGCAGGCAGAAAACACACCATCTGATCTCTCAAGCTCAGTTTCTTGACTCGTATCTGCTCTTTCCCCAAAAATAAAGAATTGGACTAGAAAGAGTGGCTGTGAATGGCCTCTAAGGAGAAAATGCGATCTGTTACTGAAACTCCACCTCTTCGGTGTGTGCTGCTGAGAAGGGGCGATTTCGCAAAAGGCCTTCCATGGCATCAGTAACCGCAAGATGGGAAGACCTTTTACAGTGTGTCTCTCAACTTGTGAGTTTGGACCACTGTGTTCTAACTTTGATTCTGGGTGCAGGAAGGATGCTTTGGTGGAGTTCCTACAGTCTGCTTTCTACTGCCCGCCGGAGAAGCAGGGTTGCTGGGGTTCCAGGTCTCCTTGACTTGGGTGTCACCAACTGAGAACACTGTGGAGATACAGGTCAAAACCTGTCTCCAAGTTCCTTGGCTGGAACAGCCTTGCTGAGGGAAAGGGGGAAGGAAGGAGAGGAAGGAGGAGAGAGAAGGGAGGAGGGAAGGAGATGGGAGAGGGAGGTCTCTTGGGGTCCTTACTGTCCTGAGAGCGCTCCTCCAGCGTCCTGCTCTACCAAGTTCACCGCCAATTCCACCGCCCACAGGACTAGGGCGAGGTGGGGCGGGGCGGGGCGGGGCGGGGCTGGAGGGGGGCGGGGCGGTGCGCAGTTGTCAAGCTTGAGCCGGGAGACTTTGCACTGTGGCTGCCGCCTGTGCCTACAAAGCGAACAGGAGACCCAAGCTTCTTGGTACAGACTGTAGTCCCGGAGCCTTCCCGTGTCCGCTTGGCCGCCGTCGGGCCACGTCCCGGAGCTGCCACCTGCAGCCAGGCCGCCAGCCATGCCAGCCGCGCCCGCCCTGCGCCCGCCGCCACCGCCCGCGACCCCGGCCCCTCCGGCACCCACCCGCCCTGCGCCTCCAACTCCGGGTGAGTGCCCCTGGCGACTGTCGGTTGGAACCCCACTCTGGAGCGAAGGGGCAACAGAGGTAGACCCCACGGGGCTGCGCTGTGCATGCGTCGGTGCATGCGTGCGTGTGTTGTGTGCATATGTGCACTTGTGCAACCCCTCTACACCACGGGGAAACTCACTTGCAAGGGGGTGATAGCGGCTGGAGCTGCTCCCCTTTCTAAGCAGCCAGAGCGCCATTCCTGGAAAAACACACTGGGCAGGTGCTGCAAGGCTGCAGGAGGAAAACGCGCGGAGGGAGCTGTCAATGATTGATTGTCTTCGTGTGCCAGGCGCTAGTCACCTAGCGACCTCCCTCGTTCCACCCTTTCTTGAAAGAATCTCTGTTTTGACGAAGCCACCGCCTTGCCTAGGATCACCCCAGAGTGGTGGAGTAGTTTCTAGAACCCTGTTCTCTGGAGTGCTGATCTAGCTAGAGAGACAGACACTGAAGAACAAAGGGGGACCAGGAAAAACACACTACAGGCAGAGCATTTGGGCATCAACAGGATAAACCAGAGAGGGAGAAACCAAACCATCAATTCATTTCAAATATAGAGCCACGTTTTTCACTCCTTTCCACGTCTGATTCTGGGGGCGAGGTGTGGTGGAGAAAGGATAAGGCTGCACCCGGGCTTTGCAGAGGCGTCTGGGGACACCTTTCCAGAGTATCTGCCTGCTGGGAGTGGGGGTGAGAAGTTGTGGAGGGAATTAGGCTGTTTGCTCCTGACAGTGAGTCATTTCTCCACCTCACTCCTTCCGAGCCCAGACCATCCTCTTCCTTCTACTTGGTGGTGGCTGTCCAGTGGAAGCCAGGTCCCATTGTCAACAACTTTTATAACACACTGTGGCGGCGGTGGGGAGATGCGCCCTGTGATGAGTGTGGTAGCGGCTGCGGAATGGGGTCTGTGGATTACAGGGGTAATCTGCTGAGCTGGTCACAAGGAAATGGGGCACCCAGAGCTATAGGCAGGCACACATTATCCCCGGGGCAGGCAGCAGAAAGCAGAACCCCAGGGAGGTAAGCAGGGCTGGAGTGCTGGTTTACCTACAGCCCAACTTCGGGAAAGCTTGTTGGTATGCAGTTGTATTGTTAATGATGCCACAGGAGAGAGAGGCAGATGTGATTTCTGAGTTATACTCTCCCACTCTCTTTTCATTTAGTGCTAAAGGTTTTAGAGCATGGTCCTTTTAAGGCCAGCCCTGCTATGCTTGCCTGTCTGTGCCCTGAGTACTTGGTTCCCAGGGGCAATCCCCTGTGCCTGTGGAAGGGACCTTTGCACTGCTTTGCTTGTACAAGCTCAGAGCAAGGACTGGGTGGAACTGTATGTCCCCCCTGGGGCAGCCCTTGACAAGGAACTGGTGAATCTTCAAGAGAACATTATCCAGCTCCCAGGCTCTTCACTAGGACAGCGAGTGAGGCACGATACCCTTTGCTTACCAAAGTTCCTGTGGCCTTCCATCAGGTTGATCGCCAGGCTCCTGGCTGGCCTTGCTTGGCTTGCGCTGGTTTCTTGGCTCACTTGTCACCCGTTCTTTCCTGTGAACAACTGCTAGCATGCTAACACACTAACTCACTGTCCTAGGAATTCTTCCTCAGCATCTGATTCCAAGGAACAACAACCAAACAAAGCAAACAAACAGAAAAATCCAATCTCAAGACGGGGAGTCATTTCCCTCCTGGTCTAGTTTGCCTTCTGGTGCTGGTGTGAACACTATAACCAAAAGCATCTTGGGGAGGAAAGGGTTGATTTCAGCTTTCTGGTTGCAGTCCGCCAGGAAGGGAAGTCAGGCTAGGAACCTGGAGGCAGAGACTGAAGCAGAGGCAGTAGAAGAATGCTGCGTACTGGTTTGCTGCCCATGGCTTGGTCCTCTTGCTTTTTGATATAACCCAGGTTGACTTGCCCAGCGATCGCACTGCCCACAGTGAGCTGGACCCTCCCACATCAATCATTAATCAAGAAAATGCTCATCGACTTGCCTACAGGCCGGTGTGAGGGAGCCATCTCTCAATTGAGGTTCCCTCTTCCCAAGTGACCTGACTTGAGTCAACTTTACCAAAACCAAACCAGCACACATTCCCTTTGCTTCTCTTTCTTTCTCTTAACTTTTTCCTTCTCCCCATTTTTTTCTTCCTGTGTTAACTTTTGAGGGCAGGATCTTGTGTAAACCAGGCTGGTCTTGAATTCATGATCCTTTTGCCTCCACCTCTTGAGTGCTGGGATTACAAATCTGTATCTCCATATCCGACAGCCTTCTCAGGCAATGTGTTCCTCCCCCATTTGCTCAAACAGCAGTGGACAGCCTGGGTCCTTTAGGGTGCCTTTGGATAAATTCACAGAAAGTGCCCTGTCTAGGCCCATGGGTCTTGGTGCCCAGACGGGGACTGGCAAGCCGCAGTGCTGTGGCCTTCATCAGTGTGCCTTTGGCAATACATACAAGTGTTCTAGGGGGCACAGTCCTTGGGCTTGGGGCTCAGAGAAACAAAAACAAAGTGGAGAGTTGTTGGGCTGTCCCAAGTTCTCGTTTCTCTCTATGTCTCTGTGTGTGTGTTTGTATGTGTGTGTGTTTGTGAAAATGTACGTATGTATGTATGTGCGTGTTTGTATGTGGATGTATGTATGTGCATGTTTGTGTGTGCATGTGTATTATGTATGCATGTGTGTGTGTGTGAAACTCTCCCATTTCCCAGTCCAAGAGAAATTTCTCTTATGTTTCCCTTACTGTTTCAGGCAAATTTTTGCTTTTCCCTGGACAAGCTGAGTAAATAAAGGCCTTCGTGTCTTTCTAAATGCAGCAAGGGGAAGGGAAAGCACCGGGTGAACCTGGGTCTCACAGCTTCAGTTATAGTGGTGCCTCTCTTGGGGTGAGTGGCTGCCTTCTCCCAGCCTGGTCTCTGCTCAAGCAGCAGCAGACAGCCTGGGTCCTCTAGGGTGCCTTTGGGTAAATTCACAGAAAGTGCCCTGTCTAGGCCCATGGGTCTTGGTGCCCAGACATGGCAAGACGCAGTGCCATGGCCGTCATCCGTGTGCCTTTGGCAGTACATACACGTGTTCTAGGGGGTACAGCTGAGAGGACTGCTTCCTTGGAGGCCTTTGATTGATGAATGTTCCTTCCTTGAGGTTGAGGGTGTTCATGCCCCAAGTCTCCCCATTTTCCCAGGTGGCTGCCTGCCAATATCTAAATTCATCCTGCATGGTGGTAGACACCCCCCCTTTTTTTTTTCAAGACAGCTTTTCTCTGTGTAACAGCCTTAGATGTCTTGAACTCAATTTATGGACCAGGCTGGCCTTGAACTCACAGAGATCCGCCTGCTTCTGTCTCCAGAGTGCTGGGATTTGAGCTTGCGCCATCACCACCCAGCTGCCAGAGCCCCTTTTGAGGTGTCTATGGGGGAGTCATTTGAAAGGGGTGTTTCTGTGAACTGCATGGTAGTGTAGGTCAGAAATCCAGAAAGGTGGAGGAAGAGGACGAAGACATCGATCCTGGGAATTGGGGAGGGGCTTTGGGTTTCATTCCTCGTTATCCGATGTTTCCCAGAGATCCCTGGCAAGACTTTGAACTTCTCTGGGAATCCAAAGTCTTCACCTTCCTTTCCATAATGAGAGCCCTTCAACTTCCCTCAGCATCTTCCATGATTAAAGGGGAGATATTTTCATGAACTCGTCAAACTGTTATTGAGCAAGCTTGTAAAGTACTTACTTGGGGATGAGAGGCCGTCTCCTAGGGACAGTGGCATGTGTGGAGGCTTCATCCTGTGGGCAGGAAGAGAGAAGGGAGGGAAGTGCTGGGGCAGTGGTGGCATGAAGGAAACTCTCTAGAGCTGCCTGTCTACCCTCAGGGCTAAGTATTCTCAGAAGTTTGCAGATAGCAAGGTGCCAGGTCTGTGTGGTTACGGAGTGAGGGCTCTCGAGTCCTTCAGACCTGCCTGCGAATCCTGGCTCTGAGACGTCAAGGCCACAAGACCTGTGACCAACCCACTCTGAGCTTCTTTCCTTTATTGGTAGGGTGGGCAGTTCCAACTGTTCTGTGACCGTGATGTACAATGCTTACCAGATCCTACAACCAAAGCCAATTGAAATTACTGACATGTTTAGGCAGAGAAGATTGTTTGGCTGTACCAGACTTTAAAGCAGCTTTGGGCATTTGAGCCATCTGGTGATGTAGGTAAAAATGGAGATTTGGGTTCAGAATGTCTTCGTGTCTGAGATGCCGCCTTTTGTACTAGCTCCTAAACTCTTGTAGGTGTTTCTTGTTTGGGGATCACACTTTTAATACAAGGTCCATGGTCATTCCTTCCCAGGAGAGTGTGGATCCTCAAGGGGGCTGAGCATGAACCTCTCCAGTGGAGTAGATCCCTCAGGCACTGCTCCTGCGGTGCCTGATGGTTTAGATGAAGTCGGTTGAGCTTCTTGTGGGTGTTGTTTTGGTTTCTCGGGTCTGCAGCTAGAGCTCTCTGGAGATTCAGTTTCTGTGTGGCAGAGACAGTTGGTCTCTGCAGATGCCCCTGTGTTTCCCCTTCTCAGCTGAAGCCGTTGTCTCTGTCCATAGTCCCTGATCACACCTCCTCTGTCCTTTGCAATCCACCTTGGCCCTGTTAGAGGGCTTTCTCTGGTAGCAGGGGTTTGATTGGTCCATCTTTAGTGAGGTCCTGAAGCACTGGGCGGTTCCTGAGCATTGGAGACATCCCCAGCTGCCAGAGGGACACAGATAGTTTTCAGTGTCTCTGTCACCTGTCTCCTCCAGGCAGGACAGCCATGCCCACACTTGATGGGGATTCTTAGCATGGTAGCCCCAACTCCATTCAAATCCTTTCCCAGCTTCTGCTTTGGGGAGGGTCCACTGTGGGTTTTATTTGGGTTTGTATGAGCAGCGACTGTGTGGGTGGGAGCCCTGTTTGCCATCTCCCAGGCTGGGCAGTTGAAAGCCAGGGTACTTCTTCTACTCTGTTCTGTTGCTCTGGTGATTCTGAGGAACCGAGTTCCTCAGCTGGAGGAGCTGATCTAGAGGAAGCCTTGGAGTCACACTGGGATTCATTAGAGCGAAACCTCCTGCCGTGAGCCCTCAGCTTCTGGGCATTTATTAACAGAAACACTTGCTTGTCTGCCTCTGGCCATCAGGGGGACCCTCTAAGGGGCCTCTACCAAAGTCCTGTGCTTTCTACCTCCCTATTCTCGGTGAGGACTCTTGACCCACACTTTCACTTTTAAAAATTTTGTACTTTTTCTCTATTCATTTACTCTTTTTGAGACATGATCTCATATAGACCAGACTGGCATCCAACCAGCTATAAAGCAAAGGGTGACTTTGAACTTCTGATCCTCTCGCCTCCACCTCCTGAGCACTGGAGTTACAGGAGGCTTTGTGAGCATTAGGTAAGCCTCTACCAACTAAATTACACCCCCATATCCGACCGGTTCTCGCTTCTAAACGACTCTTCGGGGGTGTTAAGATGAAAGTAAAAGCGAATGGCTTTCTGTGCCGCCCTTAATCACTGGCAGGGCAGCTTGGTGTCAGTTTTGAAATTTATCTAAATTCACCCTGTTTCTAAATCATTAGTCCATTGTCCCAACATTGAATAAAAATGATTCCAGCTTGCCTGCGTGGCTTGCAATCGTCTTTGATTCCATATTAAATTATAGCATGCAGTGGTAGCTATTTGGAGGCTAGAGTTTCGATATTTCCTTGAGTTTCTAAGAAAGTACCCTTATGACCGGATCTCTGTAGTGCATGCTGCAGATTCTTAAATAGGGGGTTGTGACCCACTGGGCTTGTATAACTGAATGTGGGGCTGGGGGTCACAAAACACTTGGCACCAGAAAGGTTTCTGAACACACAACCAAAAATTAATTCAGAGGCCAAGTACATAATGAGCCGGAGGTGTTTCCGCCAGTCTTCATGGTGTTTCCTCACATGATTTCATTGCACTTTGCCCTTTGTGTGCTGCCATACTCTTTAACCCCAAGGAATCTTGGGTAAAACACCTTGGCTCTGATTCAAGACCAGTGTATTTTATGAACTGGAGTGTTTTCATCCCTGATTTACAAAGTTTCCTGCTCTTATAAAAGCACAACGATTCAATTAGAAAAGACTTCTGACGGTTTTTAATGTTTTCATGTTGCCATTCATCAACATGTAAGTATAAAATTAGTAATATTTGTAATGTTTCAGAATGATTGACTTTAATAATAGTTGTTTAAATTTCTGGCTTGAGTTTCATAAAGAATGATTCAATGAATTTTGACTTGGGATTAGGACAGGATTTCTAACAGTTTCAAACATATTGTTGCCACCTCTTTACTATGTATTTATGCAAAATGGCATTCGCAGTATTGATAATTATGAAATCAAAACATCTGTCAACTCTTGAGAGACACTGAAGATGCCTGTACCCTACAGAATCAGAGCTGTCGGCACTGGCATTGGGTTCTTGTGACCGGGCTAGAGAGATTAAACTACTTGCTGCGTGAGTATAGGGACCTGAGTTTGGGTCTCTGGCAGTCATGTAAGAAGCTGTGCACTGTGGAACATGCCAGCAATCTTAGCCCCGGGGAGTGGGCACAGGAAGATCCCCAGGGCTCCTTGGCCAGCCAGTTTAGCTGAAACTGACCTCCAGCTTCAGTGAGAGAGCGCTTCAAAGAGAAAATAAGATGGAAAATAATGGAGGAAAACACCTGCTATCAACTTCTGGCTTCCACATCTACACGCATGGACACATGTTCTCCTCACGCATGCCCTTTGATCAGATGCACGCCTACCTCCCGAGAGACTGTACACACCCTCGGGACAGGCAATGTGTCCCTTATCTGTGTTTCCCACTCACGGAGCTTCTGCAGAGAAGCAGATCCCACAGGCATGGGCTCCTGCGGGACTCTC